TGATGTATAGGTATAGTAGGTCATATGAAAAAAGACTGCAGTTTTTTGTTTTGGTATTGGTACTATATGAGTAACGCTAATCCGATTATTTCAAACCAAGACGATTTGAAAGGTTATATTAAAGGTCATATTAGGCTACATTTCTTGTGAAGATAGCTGTGTAACTTGTAGTTCGTGTGAAAAGATATGTCAATGAGTAAAATATCTGAATAAGTACGCTATATGATACCTTGTTACTCTAAAAGAGATAAAAATACTACAAAAAAAATTCAAAAATATTTGTACAGTTTACAGCATACTGTGACTGAATGATAGACCCAGGAGTGGTTTACTCTATTTTGTTCCAGAAATTCTAATTTCAACCATGCATCTAGCTTTGGTCGGTTGGTGAAGTTTTGAAATTCGTATAGCAAGATCCTTAATCAGTCATAAAATAGAGAGTGGACCCAACATCAACCAGATGACAGCTTGAAATTTTTTCAAAACAGCAGGCAACGATGTTCGATATCTGGGTGCTATATAAATTAACGCAGTGTAATTTAATTATCTGGATTCCCATCAGTGAATTACTGAAAATTTCTAAAATAACACTATTTTAGAAGTGAATCATTACTGGGGTGAAAAATAGTTTAAATATGAGAATATGAAACGCAAAGGCCACTGAGCTTCCAGTAATAATTGCAAATCCAGAACTGATAGCAAACAAGGTTATATTGATGATTTCATGGGATTGCCTAAGCATTCTCTATTACCAGCTTTTTTAGTGTGGTGCAACAGTTAATTCATACTCTATTGAGTTATATAAAATGTATATTTTTTTATTTAGTAATATGTAAAAAATCGTACAAACAACAAATTTAATCATCCCTAAAACACGATAAAAAATTGTCTGATGCACGTTTATTTGCATCAGATTATATATAGAGAAATGCGGTCTTAGCAACGCAGTTAGCAGATCAATTTTCCAAATACATTTTGTAATACTGAAATCCTGGAAACTATTTACGTCCAGCTATTTTATTTTGTTTTTTAATTTAAACAACAGTCTAGGAAAAGTTCGAATCTATTTATCAAATCTTGCCGAAAAAGGATTCAAGAGCAAAATAAAGCACTTTTCGTATCAATATATGTATCTTATATTGCATCTAACTAGATTAAATGAAATTGCGATTTATATAGTATTTAAACAATTGAAGTAAATTGCTACAAAGTAGCATACTAGTGAAAGACTATATTGCCAAAAATTATTGTCAAACGTTGGCGTCAGAAAAACAATATTGTAATGAGTATGAAAATAATTGATGAGGTTAATAGGAAACTTTCCTAATATTTAAGCTATACCATAAGCTATTTTACATTAGGCTATAGAGAAATGCGGTCTTTAACTTTTGCTTACCAAGTCTCCGAATAATTTCACTGCGAATAATAATCATAAATCCGGATATTCGAAGATTTCGAACTTGCAAAAAATTATATTTTTTTTCAATAGTAGACTTCGTTTACTATTCGTTTAATCAGATTCTCCAAATATTTCCTGAAATGGAATGCGAACAGCACTATTGTCTACCATTTGTTCCGATCTGTACAAAACTCACTTAATGGTGAAAAATTGACCGACAGGAGAGTCGCTGAAAATTATTTTGGTAATTTGGCTGATAAACCGCAGAAGTTGTGTACACTGATGAAGTTAAGGAGAAGTCATCTGATAATTGACTTAAGGTCATAAATAGCAATGGCCAATATAAGAATGTACTCAAAAAAAGCAGATCACTTAACAACTAGACAATGCAAAAAACTAAATATTTTTTCAAAGTTTTTAATTAATTCTCGATTACTTACACCTGTCTTTAATCCAAGTCTAACTTTTTCATAACTGATTATATTTCAACACTAGCTGAGAGCGTCATTTAACCGATGTTTACAACTGATGTCAAGGTGTACTACTAGAGTCAATGTAAGAAATGTAGTACTGAAGTGATGTATTATATATATAATTCATGGTATTTAATAGCTTTTAATAAATCTTTCTTACACCTATCAGAATTCTAACATTAATTGCAGGAAATTAAGGAAAATATTATGAGTTGTGATGAAACTGTACCATGCTTTCTATCTACTTTCATTCCATTTCTATTTCTTATTTATATTATAATTTGAAAATAATTAATGATAATTAGACGAAAGTACTTGGCGTCAATCAAAGTCAAAACAAATTGAAAAACCTTATATGGTATGCAAATTAAATCGAGTTTAATTTTACACCTTGAAATAATGTTTGTTGCTTCAATTCTATTCAGTTATCAAGAAAGTGGTGTAATGCAAAGTATTATAAAACTATGATAGCTGTAAGGAAGCCTTCTGAATCGCTTAGAGCTGTGTTAAAAGCTTTTAGCCTTTTGTGCAAAGTTATGGGCGTTGACGCAATAGACCCAAAATTTCACTTTAATTTTTTTACAGCTTTATCTATATTGTATCTTACTGCATATCATGTTTGCACGCTGTATACTGCATTTCAGCATAGAGATGACTTCGGATTTATGTTGCAGGTACTCTGCACTATAGGTGCTGGCATGCTGGGAGTTGTTAAACTAGGAACAGTCTTGAAGTATAGCAAAATTTTGGGAGCTATGCGGACACTTATTGAACACTTGTATACTGAGTATGAAATGCAAGGTACTGATTTTCGGAGAGCACTCTATAATAGTTGCAACAGCAGTAAAAAAATTATAAAAGCGGTGAGCTTCAGTTACGTTTTTTTAATCTTCACAATTTTGGTGCCACCATTTACGATAATGGCAATTAACGGGCAGCGCCAGGTTATTTTGCTGTATGATGTTCCTGGTTTGAATATTACAACTAATTTCGGTTATATTACAATAACGACTATACATACAATTAACGTTATTACTTGTGCTATTGGATTCTTTACAACCGATATATTTGTACTATTATTTTTATCTCAATCGTATTTATTTGTGAATGTGTTTAAAGTGAAAGTTAAGGAATTCAATGAGTCAGTGACATTTGCAAAAAATCGTTTTATTCCAGCTACTGAGAAAGCGCTAGAAGATATGCTCAAATGGCATACACTTTATCTAAGGTAACAGAAATTGCTATTCAAATGTTTAAAAATAAATCAAATATAATTAATCGTTACAATTTCCCTTAGTTACACTAGAACTTGCAACAATATTTTTTTCATACCAGTCACGGTACAGGTAGTTTTAACAACGTTTTCAATAACATTAACTCTGTATGTAATACTAACCAGTTACTGGCTTGGCGCCTATTCCTTTCTCGGTTTAATGGCTGTTAATTTATATATTTTATGCATAATGGGAACTAAGGTTGAGAATTGTGTATGTATAGTAAATACTATTTTTCAAACGTACTTTTATATTATTGATATTGAAACTATTCAATTTAACTATTTCAGAATGACGAATTTTGCTTTGAGATTTATAACATATCCTGGTACAACTTAACAGTAGCTCAACAGAAAACTGTAAAACTTATGTTATTACAGTCGCAATCACCAAACGTTATCACTATAGCAAGTGTTATGCCATTATCTGTCTCTTCAGCAATGAAGGTGATTAATAGTGAATGTAAATTAAGATATTTTTCTTAATCATTTTTATTCTTTTCAGATTACTAAAGGAATTTATAGCATCTTTATGATGATGGTGCAGCTTTTGGTAGAATAGTTGTCTATAATAAAACTGGACTTATTAGGAATGTTATTGAAATACTTATAGTTACAATAATAATATTAAGTTATTATAATATTACTCATTTTGGAGTGATGGGAGTGCAATTTTGATTGATTGGAATTTGTATTTTCTTAAATCTATTCACTGTTTTTGTTGACTTGTTACTGCACTCTTTCAAATATTTTTACTAATAAATGTAACATAACTTTTGCAAAGATGATGTTATAACAGTCAACTATGATGAAATGATTATGTCTATCAAACATTAGAATTCATAATAATTTAATCAATTATTGCCTATATGAAAGATATGAGATGTGTAATCACTTCAGTCGTCAAATATGCACAGCTTCATCTACGGATTTTATTTAATATGCGATAGCTATGATGGTTCTAACTCAATTCTTAAATATAAAAATCCTTATAGCCTTGCACAAAAGCTATTGTATTTGTTTTGTGATGAATTTTTATTTTTGAAATCAGATATACACTCTTTGTTCGCTTAGGGTACTGTAAATAATTGATAAAAATATTCAATCTTTAAATGAATAACTTGAAACATGGTTTATGCTCGGAATATATCATCAAGTGATTGAGTATGTGCATAATCGATTACATACTGATGAAGACATCACTATATAGGAGTTTCTGATAAACCAATAAATAGGGGTAGACACGGAGTTTTCCGAAATGGGTTATATACATATTATCTTCATTTTAACTGGTACTGTGGAACAAATTCGGAAATTTGGTTTATGAATTGTACAAAGAATTTTATTACGGTTATATAAATGAGATTATTGCTAACTTTTTCAGAGCTTCCAGATTTCCAGATTGTTTATAATTTCCCTTTTAATTCCTGTAAGAAAACTTTGAAGGTTTGTTCATTGTACTATTTATTTATTTATTTATGAGCAGTTCTTAGAATTCTAATTTAATACAAGCGAGATTTATAATAGGAAATTTAACATTTAAAGCCATTAAAGCTGTGCGAAGTTTGCATCTTCTTTTAATAGAGAAAAATTATGTAAAGAATGACAACCGCTTTTTGTGAATACTAAAGATGTATATCTGAAAATTCAAAAAAAATTAAATAACTCAAATATAAATAGAATTTTCATTCTTGAATAATACCTATTAGTTTTTAAAATTTTCCTGATATATAAAGTACTCTCTTTGATTTATCGAACTTTAGTTGCTGTGAGACAAATATTAATTTTAATTAAAATCAACTGGTGTTGTATGTTTAACACATTTATCAATAATTTCCATACTTTTTATATTAAGTTAATTTTTTATAAACTCAACCATCATCATAAAAGTGCTATATAATGTTTTTGTTATCTGAAAAACAGTAAAATTATTTATCTTAATTCTTCTTAAATACGAAAATTCCCAAACTAACTTGCAAAGCCGTAGCAACTGATAGTGGCATGACTCCGGCTAGCATCATTTGATTTGGCTGCTGCGATTGCATCAATATGAGCCTCACAACTTTTTGTTGGGACACCGACAAATTGTACCAGGATATGTTGTATATCTCATATTCTATCTCTTCACTCTTAAATATTTGATGTATATATTAATAGATAAAAAAGTTGACTAAGTTGTTGCAATTGGCTTACGCATCTTTCCAATGTAGTACCCAATATAAAACACATATTTAGTTTTACATATGCAAATGTTGCAAGTGGATAAGCTCCCGTCCAGTCAGAAGTTAATATCAAATACAAGGCAGTTAATATTGAAAAGACACAACAAAATATTTGTATAGAAATTTGTTTATAGAACATTCTGTTGCATATACTTAAATATCTGAAAAAATATAACAGAAAGTAATATATGCACTGATTATCGAAAGAGTGGAGAGGAATACTTCAGATATAATTTGTGCCACAGCACAATATCAATTAAACCTTCATCGATGTCAGGTGTTTCTCTATGCTGTGCACTATCAATGAGGTTATTAAAGTCTTTTACCTTTAAACGAAATATTTCACAAAGACTTTTAATTTGAACGAAATAAAAGATTAAAAATAAATCACCGACATAAAAAACAAAAGTTGATAAAATTGCCGAGATCACTTGCACAACAAGTGTAATTAAATAACCTGTCAACGTCTCAAGATTTAAACCAGGGATATAATAAGGTAATATCAACTCATGTCGTCCTTTAAATATCCATAACATGAATGGAGGTGATGTCAGTATAAAAGACAGAAATATATAGAGTAAAGCTGTCCATTTCATAAATACTTTGACTTGTACACAGCAACCATTCAATGCAGTGACGTAGCTTCTGTCTCTTTTCTCATATTCCTTGTATAAGCGGACGAGGAGCGTTTGCAGATAATACAAGTCATTACTATACATTTTTGCATTCATCAGTATTGCAGATATTAGCACAGCACTTCCAACAGTTGAAAGGATCTCCAAAGTGCTCTTCCAGTCTCTCTGTATGGTTTCGATAATTATCCATGACGTAGAAACACAATATACTAAAAGAAAAAATAAGATTACAATCGCCTTTGCATTCAAACGGTAATTTGGTTCTGTGCAATTTATTCCGATGGCACCAGTTAATAAACCAAAATATTTTATAAGTTCCTTTAAATTCTCGATAGGAGATATCGGGTTAGTAGTCATATTATTTTCCGGTATGCACTACACTTCCTAGCGTTTAAAGAAGTACTGTGCGTTACTAAACAAAATAACGATAATTTAGTTTTCTTTAACAATAAGCGATAATTACTAAATAATAGCTGATAAGTGTGAAATATAACGCATTGTTATGACTCATGTTTATTGACAATTCCAGTGTCTTTGTTATTGATTGATGGGTTAAATACATTTTTTAATTACTTTAAAATCACGAACGGAATTTGAAATAAGTCACCTGACTTGAGCAAAAGAAATATATACACCGCACTTATGGTAAAGCGCCTTTAATATTATTTGCCTATAAATTTTCATAAATAGATTTTTGCAGTAGTTCACACAATCCCATAGAACCTATACTTTTTTGTTATTTTTGTGGTTATGTTTCAAGCTGATTCCTTAGTCCTGGATTAGATATCATAAACATGTGAGAGAGCGGATTGGATCCATTCTCAATAGTTACTTCATGCTTGTTGTTTTCTAGTGTCCTCAGACACCTACAACATTATCGGACACATCATCAATTTATTTTTGAATCTGCCAGCAGATTTTTTGATCTGCTGCATTTCTTATACATTCAGTCATTAATCAGTTATTTCAGAGGCTTCAATTTAACGAATTCTAACATACTTTAATCTCTCCGGGTGCATATTTGTTCTGCATTTGTAAAGATCCATTCTTTAATAAAACTGATATGCTTATAATCGCAAGCAATCAATTTAATGCATATGCCCTTACATCCATATATAAGAATTAGACAGACCGAAAAGCTTAATGTACTTAAACCAGCTGGTATGCGCAAGTTCAACTCAGGTGCGTTATTTTTCGAACATGATAACATCTTTCCAGTAGGAGAAGTAGGAGGGGACGATTGAGTATCTTCTTTACAGCTGCCCTGCATAATGTAAAATTTGTATCCAAAATGAACTTGTTTTCCATTCTATGGTCTAAGGATTCTATGGTTAGGTTACGGGTAAAGGACCACTTTAACAATAATTGGTTAAGGTTAACATAAATTCGTTATGTTGTGTAAAGGGATAAAGAAAAGAAGAGATGTAAGTATACTGTAGTTCACTAATGTATAAAAATTTCATGTTTCATTGTCCCTATTGAGAAAAATGAACAGATTGTGATATCTCTTGATTGAAAAGCCACATCGTTCTGGTAAGGAGTATCTACAGTACATACATAAAGATCACTGCATCTCTTCTAGTCAATATGTTCTCATTCACAATATCGTGTAGAAATTAATATTTAATTTTTTTTAACTCTAACACTTCTTGAATGATATCAAGAAGTGTTTTGGCAACAACAATCAACAGATTTTTATACACATATCGGCTATCACAAGTATAAATATATCCAATCGCTTACAGTGAGTGTGTGATACCACAAAATTACTGCAGTACTGGTTCCTTAATTAATGTTTGTTATTTGCGTAATTTAAATACAAATTAATTCAAAATAAATTTAACCTATCAATCAGATATAATTATAAACTGTATTGGTTTTCAAACACGTGTCAAAACAATACGTTATAGTTCACACTCCACTCGTATTACAATATTTTTAGTAATTAAAATGAATATGAATGAAGTAATATTAAAAAAAGCGTCTTAAGCTTGAGATAGTTCACTTGTGCATATAGCGAGATTTAAACCATGTCTATTCCTTCCGAGAACTTAAGCGAGATCATACAACGCGTTGGTTTTTTATCGGGGGCTGTTGGGATGAATTGCACGAAACCAAATTATGGTTTTAATATAATCACAAAAGCAATTTTAATCATTATTTTAATATATGTTGTTTGCACATCTTGGCTTCTTATCGAAACTATACAAGTGGACTGGAAGCACACGTTAGAGATATTTTCAACTGTTGCAATTGTTATACTAGTCACCACAATACTGGCCAATATTATCGTATACAGCAGTGATATTTATGGTCTACAGACACTCCTTATAAGCTTATACAAGGAATATGAGAAAAGAGACATAAGGTATATTACTGCTTTAAATGGTTGCTGTGCACGAGTCCAGATACTTATAAAAGCGGCGGGCTTGCTTTATACTTTGATGATTTGCATTTTAATTTCATTTCCAATTACTTTATGGGCAAAAACTGGAAGATATTATTTGGCATTGCCTTATTATGTACCTGGATTGAACATAGAGATTTTATCGGGCTACTTAATAACACTTTTTCTGCAATCACTTTCCGCAATTGTCGGCACCTTTGTATATTTTATCGGTGATTTATACTTAATCTTTTATTTTGTTCAAATATATAGTCTCTGTGAGATTTTTCGTTTAAAAGTTAAGGACTTCAATGATCTCTTCGAAAACGAACGAGATGAAAAAAATTGCAATATAGATGAAGCATTGATTGATATCGTTCTGGGGCACAAATTATATCTGAAGTAATTGATAATTGTTGAAATAATTGCTTATAACTGTATCTAAACGATTTTTCTTTGCAGATATTTAAGTATGTGCAACAAAATTTTTTATATTCAAATTTCTATCCAAGTATTTTGTTGTGCCTTCTCACTGCTCATGGGATTATATTTAATGCTAGTCTCAGAATGGATAGGAATTTATCCAATTCTCATTTCATCATTTGTTAAGTTAAATATGTGTTGTATATTAGGTACTACATTGGAAAAAAGTGTAAATCTTTTCAATTTATATACTCTTTCAATTCAATTGAACTATATATTTTTATATTTAAGAATGAAGAGATGGACTACGAGATATACAACATATCCTGGTACAATTTGTCAGTGCCCCAACAAAAAGTTGTAAGGCTCATGTTGATGCAATCGCAGCAGCCAAATCAGATAATGTTAGCCGGCGTCTTGCCATTATCGGTTGCTACGTCATTGCAAGTTAGTTTTTGTTTTTAATAAATGAGTACTACAACAAATTCTAATACTCACATTATTATTTTTCAGATAACAAAATTACTTTACAGCACTTTTATGATGATGGTCGAGTTTGTAAAAACTTAAACTGCTGTTTAATCTGTTAAATATTTTTAATTTAAATAGTAGTCTATATCTTATGGCTTTATAATACTGAATATACGCTATGTGGAACTATCACAGAAAAATTATTATAGAATATTATTTTCTTGTAATCAATATTTAATTTTCTAAATAAAGATCTCTGAGTAGATCTTGAGTTTTTAACAGTAAATCATTTCTAACTACTGATCATAGTATTTTTTTCCTGATTTTATGTTACTTTTTCAACTAGTTAGGTTAGTATAGTGATCCCCACCTTTTGGGACGAATTTAGACGTGTTTTACTATTTAAAAAAATATTCAATTGCCAACTTCCCTTTGCCATGGTAGATATGGCAACATATCCACTGAGCTAATATCCACTGAGTACTTTGTTCAAGCATGTATTAGCTACTATAAAAAATTAATTTACCGGTATTTGAATTATAAAATTAAGTATATTCGATTGGTAGACATATCGAAGGTCTAATTAATCCTATTGTGATATTATGAGTACTTTTTTTTTTAACATTAGTAGCCTCAAAGAATTTTGGGTAGAGATACCTCTCTTCTTTGATCCATGCAGTTTAAGATCACGACTTATAGTGGATAGAGACTTTCTGACAAGTGCTGGCAGTAACTGAGCAGTTAATTTACAAGTGTCATTGAAAGTTGCCTTAGTCTGTCAAATGATTAATACTTTAAATAGTGTGTTGCTGATTTTGAAGGTGTTTAAGATCATAAGAACGATGAAAGTCAATCAGTCGTTTTGTTCTTCAGTGAATACCAATTTAGAGTGCGTAGTATTAATAAGCAATTTTACCGAGAGTATACAAATATGATTGGATTTATAGGAAGTCATTCTATAAAGTCTTCTAGTCTAGGCAATTCATCGGTTTGACGGTAACACGGAGTGTTTACATTAGCCGATTCCTCCCTCGAATATACACAACATAGCACATAGTAAAAGCTTGGCAATACTTACCAAAAATATATTATTGTGTTGAACCCATTAATTTACGTGACTTTTATTAGCAACTTTAGCCTATAAGTTAGATTTGAACTG